ATTATTATAAGATATTTTTAGAGGAAAAATTTGGATCAAATATATGGGTTTTATGAATTTGCCAAGAACAACATAAAGCAGATTGAATTCAGAGGGATTTTCTCTTCTTGAATTGTTTTGCAAAATAGATAGATTGTATTCCTTTCTATATATCACATTTTTTCAAGCATATTGCTTTTCAAATTGCACTGAAATCAGGGCATCTGTTTTGAAAGAGACACACTATAACTAAACCTGTTGGTGAAACCCAGTCACACATCTGCCCCATGAAAGGAAGCTGCATTTTACAGAATTTCTCCTAATACTTTTCCTGAGCTTTGCTAGTCATCAAACTTCTACAGATTGATGAGAATTCTCTGTAATAATTCTTACTATGTCTCTAGAAACATTATTGTGTGCTATGAAGCATGACTGACAGTGTTATTTCCAGTGAATTCGTTACTCTAAAGGAGGTGGAGTTTCCATGGAAGTGTTACTTTGCACGGATCACATAAACATATGTTACTGTTATTTGCCAAAAATTGATTCACACTGTGTTCCAAAAAACTCAGATGTTAATCAGAACACATTAAATTAGGAGTCTAAATTAATAAGAACTGAAAGACATTAGTGATTTAAAGCACCTGAATCACCTGTCTACTTACCTCTTCTGTCCATTTACTCTCTCCTTCTGATTCAAAAGTGTCAGAAGTCTGTTTAACACAAGAGAATAGACAAATTTGATTCCCCTCTTGATGGCAGAAGACTCATTCTGATGGCACTGGTCTTTGGAAGTATTAAAGAGTGTCATGCTACTTTTGGAAGAAGTTAATGCAACACATCTCTGGCTTATTGCTGCTCACTACATTCTCTTTCTTTTCTTTGAAGAGGAACTCTCCTTCTCCATTAAATGCCATGACATCTATTGTACAGGTAAAGAGTGTGAGTATGTGGCTGGGATTTCTGGTCTGAGACTTGATGCTGGGTGATGGCCCTGTTATGCTGCAGGACACAAAGGGACCATAAGTCATGGTCATTTCAAAGAAAGCCCTTAAGACACAATTAGCCCTAAGTCTGCACTCTAAACTGGTCCAGACTTGGCAAGTGGACAGCAGTTTCTCCAAAAGTCAGAACAGGCTGTATTAACAAGTAATTTTGGGAATATGAGAAGATCTGTACAATGAAGCAGCTGATACTGAGTATCCATGTCATGTCAATCCTAAATGTCTCTGAAGGGGTTTTTCCTCACTCTAGCTCTAGTGCAATTTTGTAGATCAAATGTGCATTAATGGTTGGCATAGGGTAGTATGACGCTGTAGCCCATTTAGTTAAGGAAGAGATTACTACATTTACAAGAGAAAACAATCCTGCTGGTATGAACACTGTTTTCTTAGAAGTTACAGTTAAAAACCTTGACCTGAAACTTCGCATGGGACTAATTCACTGTAATTTTACATGCGTGTGTATGTACACCTGAAAACTATCGTTATCTCCCTCAAATGAGATTCTGGTTTGCATGGGCAGTTCTAGACAGCTGATCTGTAAAAAGAAATATTGGATAAAACCACTGGAAACTTTAGTCATATGGATATGAACTCCAAAGGTCTAAACTGAAAGTAATCACTCCGTTTTAATGAATCTGAAAACCAGCAGGTCACAGCACAGCACCTGATGGAAGGATCAACTTTTTTCCTTCTATGTCCTGGAAGAAAGTGGGCAAGAAGGGAACACTAAATTCTTTCTACCTAACTGCATATTTCCATAATCAGAGCCACACTGTGATTCTGATTGTTTTGATTAATCTCTTGAGTACTTTCCTTTGCACTGCAGTTGTTCCACACCCTCATATGCATTTCTACAAAAGACAAGTTCTGGTGATACTAAATGAGGGTAGCATGCTTTCTCCTTTTCCTATTATAGGCTTTCTTTGGAGGTGATCAAGTTAGACATTCTCAGGCTAGAATACATGTTACTTACTATATGAAGTCTTTATCAATTTCCAAGAACTTGTTATTAATCAATATTATAAACCACAATTTATTTTCTTTTTAATTTAATTACAAATGTAACTATGACTGAAGTATTTATTGGGGAAAAATAGCCAGTTCTATGCTGTTTTCTCATCATGAGAACCTTCTAAGGAAGGGTAAAGCCCTTGTTATTATATCATTTCACAGCCTCCAGGGTTTGTTTTTTTTCAGACCCTAACACCAGAAAAATTCTGGCCTGAAAGAAAAAAAAAAAAATTGTGGGTCCCCTGTTGTCCACCAATGTTGCCATGTCCTCATCTCCAGCAGATCTCTGTGTCCTGACTTACTGCTGTGGTAGGACAGGATTGAAAGGGGAGGTGAAAGCTCCTACTGCCAGGGCACCTCCCAGTGTGGAGTATGGAGCCACACTAACCTCTACCTGTCTGCTATTGGGAAATTACAGGTAATGTTTTTGTGCTCGTCCTGAGCTCTGGGCTGTAGTCAACACCAAATAAAATCAGCTATCCCTTGTACACTTTTTTTTTATTACTTGACATCTAAATAGTAAATAAGAATACCTTTTTACCTTACTCTTTCATGTTTTTCTCATGAAGAGACAGATCAATAACTAGAAATCTCAGGTTTATGCCAAACAGAAACATAAAAAAAGTGCAGTAGGAGATGCCCCTCAAGACATGTTTGACCTTCTTTCAGCTGTTTTTTCTTCAAAAGGATTTCAAGTTATCTATCACAAGCTATGCTGGGGTAGAGTGTTTTGTCTGCTGTTGAGCTCACTGTATTTGAAGGAAATAAATCTGTTTTCATTATGCTGCAGAGAGGTATAATTCTTCATTCCTGCAGCAGATTATAGTCTAATTTCTCATTGTTTAGTGACAGGAAGCACTCTTAAAATGAGCTGCTGCTTAATAAGGGTTAAAATGGGTCTGTATTCCAGACAGAGTTTGAATTGCTGCCTCATACCTGTCCTCAACATCTTCCCTTGCACACAACCCTCTAGGGTCAGCATACTGACTCCCATATGTCTGTGAATACAAGCTCTACTCTGCTGCTGCTGGGTTTGGGCTTGAGAGGACAAAAAGTTCAATCAAATATTTGTTAGTGGACAGCTGAAATGAGATTAAAGTCACCCAGATTTTAAGTGTCTGCAGTAAGACCCTGGTGTCTAACAGCAGCTACAGCAAATAGAGTACAGCCAGCGATGTCAGCAAGTCCTCTTGTCAGGTGCAGGTGCCTACTCAGGGTGAGTTAAATGGCTCTCAGCTCTACTGACTACACCAATGATTCTAGGGAGAGCTTAGTCACAGAGTTTATTTGTAAATACCCACATTAAAAATACCTGCAACAAAATGAGTTTAATCCTCCCCTGAAGCTGCTTTTTCATCCTAGACTGAGAGATGTCACCAATCTTTTCAAAATCATCTATTCTGTGTGTTTTAGGAAGGAATTTGGATTATAAATTATACTAGGAAAATGAAGAGATGGATATGTATTTCCTAACATATTGTCTGAAATACATGCCAAGATGATTTTGTTTGCTGTTGGTTTGGTTTCTTGCCATTGTGTATGTGTGTGTGTATGCATGCATGTACATAAACATACATATAGATTGTGTACTTGCGGTAAATAAAATTTTTCCTAAGTCTCTAATTTCTACTATACTACCTTAAACAGGAAAATAATGTTCATTTGCTTACTGCATATGCATATTGGAAAGCTATTAATTAAAAAAAATACATTGAAGTGCTAAGCATCTTATTGATGATTCAAAATTGTAACTAAGCACATTTTTTGTTATATTTCCTTTTGCATATGGATGGATATTGCTTGATTGTGTGCAATAGGTTTAATTTCCAAGAAAAAAATCCAATAAATTAAAATCCAGTAAATTCCTTGCTACCAGAATTACTTTAAATCTAAACACAGGGTATAAGGTGAAGTGACTTGGCACGATCCTTATGCCTGCATCTAAGATGGTATACAGCATTTATGGACTTTTATAATTGACTCTGCTTTTAAGTAGCTTACCTTAGATAACTTATTTACTATCAAGATTTCCAGTGGAGCCCTAATTTAGAGGTAAGTTGGCATGATCCTTATGCCTGTATCTAAGATGGTATACAGAATTTATGGATTTTTATAATTGACTCTGCTTTCAAGTAGCTTACCTTAGATAACTTATTTACTATCAAGATTTCTAGTGGAGCCCTAATTTAGAGGTGAAGATAGTTTAATTTCTGATATTTGTATGAGTGTGTCAAATGATCTAAATGTTCAAACTTTTTTATCAATTTATTGGGAATAAGTAGCCTGAATATCTTCAGGATTCTCAGATGATGGCCTAGGCACCGTAAGTCTGAAGATAATATTGGTTTAAGCTGAAATTTTGTGTGGATGACTCCCATCTATTCCTGAAAATATATCTCTGGTACCTGAGATATACATTAACAATACTTTCTAAAATTAAAAAATATTCATAAAATGTAACCAGATTCAATAGGAAACAAATAAAAATCAAACAAAGTTTTTCACAGGTGAACAAGTGATTCTTAAATGTCTTTACTACTGAAAGATATTTTCTTAAACACTTTTTGAGAGATGCTGCACAATTTTGAATGCTGTGGTTCAGATTCTTGATCCATCTGGCTTGATCCATAAGGATGCAGGCAAACAAAGGTGAATATACTAAAAATTTGACCCACCTTTTCTCTTTTTTTTTTTTTTCTGAATATTGCATGACATGCAACCTCTTTATTCTGAGTATTACATGACATGAAGTAAAATAAATCCTCCACCAAATAATGAAGTGTAAAAAATAACCAGAATAGTTTTTTTTTTTCTAGAAATTTTGTTTTGTAAAGCTGATGACTGGCAGGCTGTATCATAACTATGCATTACTAGATCTAAGGTCAAATCATAGCACCTCTAAGAAATCTTTCTGATTTGGAATACCTTCAGGCTCTCAGCGTTAGAGCTAAATCCATGACATTTAGACTTACGAAAACAAGTGAAATCGGTTTTTCTGTACTATACCTGTACAGATGAAACTTGATAGTCCTCCATAGATGACATCATCATTGTCTGGTAATATAAAGGGACACCTCGTTTGAACCTCCAAACAGTATTGCTTGCAAGGGATTCTGTTGCTGCAGTGAAACTGTGTGACTTCAAAATACTGGGAACAGAGCCAGGCTTTGTAGACGGTCTGGAAAAAAGAAAAGAACCAGAAATATAGATGGATGACAATAGCACTGTCATTATTAGAAGAACATACTGTACTGCACACCTACATTAAGGCTGCTTTTGGAAGAAAATTTTGAGAGAATATCACCTGGATAGAATATGCTCTTAACTTTTGACTGTCCTCCCACTTCAGAAATGAAAAATCCAGAGAAGTCATTTAAAAGCAACAGTTATTCAGGACTAGGCTTATGCTATTATATTATCTTGTTTTGTAAACAGTTATGTCTCTTAGATGTGACTTTTTATTAGGACATGTGCATGCATGGAACACAGCCCTGTCCCTGTACCACCATATCTCACCAAGTGAGATTGTAATCTCATTTGAAGCTTGACAAGGACAAATTTATAAAAGTGCCTGCAAGAAAGAGTTGAAAGCTGGGCTCAGGCCAAGTCTGTCTTTATATCATCTAGAGCTAAGCTATCAGGTTGCAATAGATGGTGCTGCTTCCCTTACAATAAAATCTTATCCAGTCCACAGCATTATTAAAACACACATTAGGGTACCTGAACACCAACAGCTGTGGACTAGGGGATAAATCTGCCACAGTGAAAACCTATGTGTACATTTGGGTTCTAAAAGGAGCACTTTAAAGATGTTGTCATTGGATGCTGCATGGCTATGGCTGCAGAACTTGTGATTATTGCAATTATTGTCACCATTTAAACAGAAAAGTAAAATACATGTGCTGATTTTTTACTACCTTTTGTCTTCCAAAGAATGGTGTATGTCTTTAGTACTAAACTCTTGTGGACACAGAAACATTTCATGTAAAATTAGGTTGGACACCAGGCTACAAAGGTGATAAAAAACCTCCATGACTAAGTACAGAGAGATTTCCTTGTTCCCCATTTTATTTATACATTTTATAATGTACTCCAAAACAAATAATTTATTTGTTTTGGAGTACATTATTCATTGCCTAGATACTCACTCTCTAGGTTGTTACATAACAAAAATAAATCCTTTTTTGTATTTTTCAATTATCTGAAAATCCTAGTAACTATCTTTCATTAAACATAGACTGAAAACCAATATAGTCATCTCATAATTTCCATTATTTCTAGGAATGATGTAATAAAAAATAAAACTACAGATGAAATTTTTAAGCCGAGGAAGCTAAAAAACCAACACCTGAAATGACCGGTCTAGATGAGAATTTGGTTTGAGCTCAGTATGTTTCGTCTCACTGGTTGTAATTTTATGAATGTCAATAGCAGCCTAAATTGCATTAATATCAATGTAGTAGCCCCAGAATCACCAAATTTCTATTTTAGATAGTTTGCAACAGTGGCAAGTGTTAAGTTGCTAGGTGATACAATGAAGCCTTTATTACTAATCTATGGTTTGTGATTATCTCTTTAAAGTGGTTTTTACCTACTGCATTCTGGAGAACATGTTCTTTTTTTTTTCATTAAAAATTAAATTTTAATTGCTTAAAAAGGTTTCTTATCCACAGTAAATGATTAATGAGAAGGAAGACAAGGAGATATGTGTGTCTTTTGTTCTTAAATAAACTTTTAACCAGAAAGTGTTTTTCCTACTGTCATTTACATCACCCACCATGTTTCAGTTGCTTAACTGACGTTTGCAAAAAAAAAAAAAAAAAAAAAAAAAAAAAAATCATAAAATCACAGAATATACTGAGTTGGAAAAGATAAAGGATCACTGAGTTCAACTCTTGGCCCTGCTCAGGACCATCCCCAAAAGCCACACCATGTGCATTGTCCACACACTTCCTGAAGTCTGTGAGGTTGGCGCTGTGACCACTTCCCTGGAAGCCTGTTCCAGTTCACAACGATCCTCTGGGTGACGAACTTTTTCTACCTAAACCTCCTCTGACACAGCTTCAGGCCATTTCCATGGCTCCTGTCACTGGTTACCACAGAGAAGAGATCAGTGCCTCCCCCTCCTCTTCCCCTCACAAGGAAGTTGCGACGCAATGAGGTCTCCCCTCAGTCTCCTCCAAGCTGAACAGAACACGTGGTGTCAGCTGCTCCTCATATAGCTTCTCCTCAAGGCCCTTCACCATCTTTGTTGCCCTTCTTTGGATGTTATATAATAACTTTATATCTTATGTTGTCGTAACCAAAACTGCATTCAGGATTCAAGGTTAGGTGAAATAAAGCAATAGTTTTTCTACTTTTAATTAGTAATCATAGTCAATTGCTTGGAGACAGGAATGCTGGGTCTGGTAACAGTTATACATTCAAAGAGGTTCTTTCCTGATCTTAGACCTGTTTAATATGACGTGTTCTCTTCATAAAATAGATCTAATAGAAGCAAGTGGGTTTATGACTCATATTTGAAAGGTAAATCAGTTTTTAGGAAGTATACTGAGCAGTCTACTATACATGGTAACAAGAAAATGAGCAAAACCATGTGTCTACTGAAGCAAGATAGAAAATGTTTATTCAGGAGCAGAACTAAATAATGCAATCCTGGGCTTCTATGAAGATTTTTGTGTATCCAATCTCCATGCATACACATCATCTTCCTGCTCTGATTCACAAGTCCTCAGCTTTGTCTCAAAATGACTTTTGAATTTTCCATATTTCTAAAGAGTGCATGAGTATACCTGTTCCTGAGATCTGTTTCTTAGATTAATGCCTCCCACCCTGTATCCTTCCTTATTTTCTTTACCCTGCAGCTGATTTCAAACTTGTCTATAGTCTATATTGTTACTTTTAATATTCTGGTTCCCTTTTGTTCTGTTTTACCCAGTAAGGCTACACAGACAAGGCACATTCTTGATGCCTATCTGTCAGTCCACTGCCTTCATACCTTTGACCTGTGTTAATTCCTACATCTCCAGAAAATGCTCAACCATTGTCTGGAAAAAGGTGTATGCTAAGAACTGCACCCAGTAAGCAGTTTCGTCTTTTTCTGGAGAAAATAGAAAAGTATGTAGGTGTTTGCAGTTGAGCTGTGCTGGGTTAGCTAGTAGGCCAGAATGTGGTCCCTCTCTGCTCTTACTGTTACAGACATGATTTAAATGCCTGTTCTCCTAACAAACATCCCAAATAATCTCTCCCACCCTTCTTGGACTTTTTAGACACCAAAAGTATTACAAATACATCTTGCTTTCATGCTTAGATATGTATTACCCAGGAGGGAGTACAGAAGTGGGAGAACTGATCTCATATTTGTACATATTTGTACAACAGCATTTGCATGAGTCCCATGGCTGACCCACTCAAGTAAGAAGATCCAGAGCAGTCCAAAGTTTTTTTCTCTGTTTCAGGGACAATGAGAGGTCACTTTTTTTAGCTTTTGTAGAAGTCCATAATGTGGACTGAAATTTCTTGAAATTTCATGAAATTTTCCAGTGAGAGTGAAGCTCTCACTGTATTATATGCTCATGCAAAGGAAACAAAGTTAAAAATAACTAACAAAAACTGAACTAAACTGAGTTATAAGATGGGAAAGATATATACATTATAGGGAAAATGAAAGAATAAACCATTATCAATCATTTTTGAAGAAAAAAAGAGGAAATCTAGTGATATAAAAAAAAATTCAGAATTTTAGAAGACAAAATAATTTTTTTAAGAGATACCTTATTCATTGGAGCAAAACTATCAAAGCAAAAAAACCTAACATATGAAGAAGATTTGGGATTTTTTTAGAATTACAAATTTTTCTATGCTTTATGATCTTTTATGCATGTTCCATATATATAATGTAGAAAAAAGAATTGAATGGCCTTGTGTTTTCAGCTGGCTTGGAGGATTATTGAAACCTTGAAATATTCTATTTCTTAACAGAAATCTGGCAAACTGAACTCAAAGAACAGAAAAAACCCTCACGTTTTTCTGTGTTTTTCTGACCCTCATACTTTTTGTTTTGTTTTTGCTCTTTTTTAACAAGAGAAAGAACCAAGTTTAACTGGATTATTGATGCATCATGGCAACTAAATACATAGACTAGATACCTGAATATGGATAAATATCTCATCTCTTTACCATCAACATAACTTTAGACACCGCAGTTAAAAGAGATACAGTCCCAGCTATTAGATGAGACACAGTGATGGCAAGATGGTAGTATTCTGTAAGAATAAAGTTATCTTTCATGTACAGAAGGATAGATATAAAATCTCAGAAGGATTTAGCAGCAATTTTTCTCACCTAAATAAATTAACCTTACTTTGTATTTGTAGAAAAAAAATAAGATTATACCTTTAAACAAGTGCACAAAGTGCTGGCTTTATATACCTATATTCATATGTCTGAGTGCCTATCTAGAACAATCATCATCAAAATCATCTTGGTGGTTTTAAATTATTAACAGTACTGTGATAAAAACTCATTATCAATTGGGCAGAATAATTTATTATTTGGCATTCATTTTATTTCTACTGTACAAGTTTCAAGCAGAAAAAATATTTTATTACTTCAGTGACCAATAACCCAACACAAATATCCAGCTTCAGATATTCGAAGAATTAAAACATCACAAACAAACTAGACATTAAACTGCATCTACTCATCAAATCATTAGAAATAATAAAAGAATTCAGAGTTAACAGGAAGAAAACAAGTGTGTGTGTCTGGAGAATTTTGAGAAACTGGAAGGGCACATAGTGTGCTTTTTCTCTCAAGACATTAGGAAGAACACTTATTTTTGTCAGTGTGGAGACTGACAGTCCTAGTATTGTCTTTTTTTTTTTTTTTTTGGATATTCTATATCTCATATCACACATGAGGTTAGACGGTGTCTGAGTTATTCCTTCTGGTCTTGAAAGGCAACCAGACAGAGCTCTTAATTAATAGTGTTACATTAATCACCTAGAGAGAGGCCAGGAGCTGCTGGCTCCCAGCGTGGAGAGAATGGCTGGGTAGAACAGTGCTGACCACAGGGCTGAACCACAGCCCTGGTCAATACACTACCAGACTTCCAACTGGCTGTGCAACTGCACAAAACTAATTTTGACAAGATGACTTTTAAGGACCCCTCCAGCC